CCATACCCTGAAGTTGCTGGATTCCATCCAGAAAAGAGCTATCCGCCTGATTGGAGACGCGAACATCACGTGCAACGTTGACAGCCTGGAACATCGAAGAAACGTTGGAGATTTGTCTCTCTTCTATGGATAGTTTCACGGGAAGTGTTCAACTGACTTGGCACATTTGATTCCACCAAGAGCGGTGGTACATATCAGAAATATGTGACATACTATGGCTACTCATCGTTTTGAGGTTCAACTCAGTACACCTTGAACTTTACTGTTGAAGAACTCTTTCATCTGGAGAACTGCGTTTATTGGAATAAACTTCCTGCGAAAGAAAGACCTATAAGAATCTTACCGCCTGGCACTACAGAAAAATCTTAATGCTCTTTTCTGCAGAATAAAAATCGACTCATGTCGAGTTTGATTACATACACCCCAGAAAGGGATCCCGTATCTTAGATGTGATTCTACTAATAAACAATAGACAGCTTTAGCTGCAGTTAGTCCTAGTTCGTTAGGGTTTTTTTCACAGCGTAACATCCAAACGAAAGTTTTTTTTTAAGTGATAGTATGTGGTACTCAAACTTCAACTTGTTATCAGTTAATAACCCAAGTGAGTTCCGATTGCAGAAGTTGAGAATATTGATCCAATTTTTTTTGGTTCACTGTGCCAAATGATTTTAAATGACATTTATGCCAAAATCGTAACAATTATGTAACTCGACACAACAATTATGGATATCGCACACTCATGATACAAACGAATCACAATCACTGTATATTGTTATTTGAAATTTCATCAATTTGTGATCTTCGCTTTTTAGACCTTTTGTTGCAGTCCTAACCTGACCAGTCATAATTTTCATTCTGCAAGGCGTTGTAAATTTTCCTCGAATTTGTCTTGTAAGTCAAACCCAATTTCAGTACTGCTCAGTGAGAAATTTATATACGTTGTATTGAATAAACAAGAAAATCTCCTCGCCATATGTAAAGTCGTATCCTGCGAAACTGTTTACTGTACCGTTAAATGCTAAATCAATTATGCCATTCGATGGAGCTTAAAACGTGAAACATTTCCTTCAAAGTGATGGACAACTTGGCATCGGTTAATTAACTGAGCATTTGACGCAGAACACTCTTATTTCTTCATTTGCTGTTCAGAACATACGAATGTTTGGTTTGTTTGGATTATGTCGTCTGTTCCAAAACGAACTGAAAACGTTTTGCCTCATTTGTCGTTCTTGCAAAGGACAGTATCGTTTTGAAATGACAGTGGTAGGAGACGTAAACATACAGTGACCTCAGTTAGTTGGGATAAATTAGTCTTTGTAGTATTATATTTTTGTCCTTAAAAAAATTACTAACATCGATTTTCAATTCGATAAACTTCAATATCTGAATATTAGCCTAAAACGTTTCGCTGTTCTTGAATTCACATTGAGAAAAGTTGGTGTATTTTACAGGTTACAACTAAAATGTATGTATATGTATTTTGCAAATTTATGATGGCCCCCATATCATCGTACCACATTCATTGACATTTGCAAGGTCATCCTCTGCTATTTTTTGACTACTTCTTACATGCTCTTCTGAATAGTTGTGTCATTCGTAATGTAATCTTCTGATTGGTTTTTTTCAAACCAATGTAAATAGTAAAAAGTTTAGGGTCAAAAATATTTCCTTGTGGTACACCACACATCCAATTGCTCTTGGCTCGTTTATGATGTCAATTTGAACATATAATTTTATAAGATTTCATCAACTCGAAAGTTAGCCCTGTAAGCCAATCTGAAACCAAAGAACAAACATGTGTTT